TTGTATGCGAAAGTGTTGATTGAAAGGGTTGTGAATGAAACAGACGAGAAAATATGGGATATACAAGCGGGATTTAGAAAGGGAATGGGATGTACGGATCAGGTCTTCTCCTTGCGGTGCATAGCCGAAAAGTGTTTGGCTAAAAACAAGAAAGTCTACTGCGCCTTCGTAGATCTAGAAAAGGCCCATGATAGAGTGGTGAGGAATGAATTGTAGTCAGCACTGTCTATGAACGGTGTGAGCAGTGTCCTCATACGAGCATTGCAATCTCTTTATAGGGATTCTAGTGCTTGTGTAAGGATAAACGGGGCATACACTGAATGGTTTAATATCGAAAAAGGTGTTAGACAGGGATGTGTAGCGTCACCGTGGCTGTTTAATCAGTTCATGGACAATTGTTTGACAGATTTAAAAAAAGAATGAAAGTGGGTTGAGAATGAATGAGTTACTCGTCAAATGTTTTCTCTATGCTGATGACCAAGTATTACTTGCGTCTTCGGCCGAGGAGTTGCAGGGGATGGTAACTGCTATGAGTGGAGCTTTTGTTAGAAAGGGAATGAAGATGAATGTAAGGAAGATGAAAGTGATGGTGTTTGAAAAAAGATGAGGCAGTGACAGACTGCAATATCGTGATTGAAGATGAACAAATTGAACAGGTGAAAGAGTTTGTGTATCTGGGGTCAAAGTTTACAAGAGATGGAAAGTGTGAGAGTGATATCGAAAGAAGAGTGAATGCAGGAAACATGGTGAATGGAGCTTTGCACTCCTTTATGAGCAGTCGGAAGGTGTCTAACAAGGCCCGTTTGGCTGTGCATGAGTGGGTGTTGGTTCCGACACTCATGTACGGAAGTGAAAGTTGGGTATGGCAGAAGAAACATGAAAGTAGAATAAATGCAGTTGAGATGAGAGCATTAAGAAGTATGATAGGAATTAAACTGAGTGACAGGATAAGACATAGTGAGATAAGGAAACGTTGTGGTCTGGAAGAAGATGTAGTGACAAAAATTGAGAAAGGTATGCTGAGATGGTTTGGCCACATCGAGAGAATGAATGAAGAACGATTGACGAAAAAAAGTGTATAAGGCGAGTGTGAATGGAAGTGCTGGAAGGGGTAGACCTAGGCGGATTTTCTAGACCAAATTAGGGACGTCTTGAAAAAAGGCCAGGTTAAGAGTACCCTAAACCGTAGGGCATGTATGAAGGGAATAATGAAAGTGGACGAAGCGCAACAAGTATGTAAGGATCGTAGCAAGTGGAAAGAAGTGGTCTCTGCCTACCCCTACGGTAAAGAGGCGTGATTATATGTATGTATGTATGTAATAAGTGTCCTATATGCCAGGACTCACACCTTTTGTACACTTGCTCAACTTTCCGTAAGCTTCCCGTAGAGTCGAGATTTAGAAAAGCACATGAGTTCAATGTATGTCATAACTGCCTTCGCCCAGGACATTTCACTTCAAAATGCAGGTTAAGTAATTGTAAATATTAGTTTAAGTAATAGTATTAGGTTAAGTAATAGTAATTGTAAATATACAAGAAACACAACACACTCATACACGTAGATGAAGAGATTCAATTGCCATCACAAAACATTGCATTAACTGTAAATCAGTACACTGACTCACGTATCGTATTGCTTTCCACAGCGCTCGTAAAGGTGTCGGATGCCAATGGCAGCATCTGTACAGCACGAATCCTACTAGACAACGGAAGCACTGGCAACTTTATATCAGAAGATTTTTGTCGTAAGCTTTCTTTACACACAGTCAAATTGCAATCGAAGGTTTTAGGCATTGACAATCAGTCATTGTTCAACATCATGTTCAGTTACGTTACAATCGTTCGACGAAAAATACAAATTCGATATCAATTGTTTTGTTTTGCCCAAAATTGCTTCAAATCTACCAAGTAGCTATGTAGATATTACAAATATTTCATTACCTGCAGGTGTTCGCCTTGCCGATCCATCTTTCAATATTCCGACAACGATTGACATTCTTGTTGGCGCAGAAGTATTTTGGGATATCATAGGCGCGAATCGCATTTTCTTAGGCAAAAATAAACCTTCTCTGATTGAGTCAAAACTAGGCTGGCTTATATCTGGTATAATCACAAAAACCAGTCCAGTCCAACCGTGTGTATGTTTGCGGATGGTTCAGGTGATCTTCATAGAGATTTAACTAGATTTTGGGAACTTGATTCCGTTTCGACAAGGCATAAGTATACACCGGAAGAAAAAGCCTGTGAACAATTTTTTGTAGACTCTACATATCGTAAATCAGATGGTAGGTTCGCGGTGAGTATTCCACTCAAAGCAGCGTCTACCACATTAGGTGAATCGTATAAAATGGCCAAACAAAGATTTCTGTCTCTTGAGTCACGACTAAGAAGAAATTCTTCACTTAAAAATCTATATATTCAATTCATGGACGAATATGTCAATCTAGGACATATGTCTGAAAATGTAAGTAAAATAAACAATGGTACTCCCTCTTATTTTCTGCCACATCATTGCATTCAAAAGAAATCTAGTACAACTACCAAACTCCGTGTAGTCTTCGACGCCTCCGCAATCACTACATCAGGAAAGTCATATAATAATATTCAAATGGTAGGCCCAACTATTCAAGATGACTTACTGTCAATATTACTGCGCTTTCGACAACATAAATTCGTTGTGTCCGCGGACATTGAAAAAATGTACCGTCAAATTTTCGTTGACGATAAATATCGCCCACTCCAACAAATACTGTGGAGAAGGGCCCCTAATGAACCAATAAAAACTTACACACTGAACACTGTGACCTATGGCACGGCTTCCGCACCATTTTTAGTTACAAGGTGCCTTAATCAATTAGCCAATGAGTGTATCGATCCAAGTATTAAATTCACGATTACTCATGATTTTTATGTAGACGATTATCTATCAGGAGGTACAAGGGTCGCAGATTTATTACATCAGTGTCATGAAGTAGGTACTATTTTGCATTCGGCGGGATAAAATCTGCGCAAGTGGCAATCAAATTCGACGAAGATCTTAGAAAATTTTTCTGGTAACAAGAATCAAGGCGATTCAGTTCATTTTAGTGCTAATGATCTTTCTAAAACGTTGGGCCTTAACTGGAAATGTTCAACTGATACATTTTCATTTTACATAAACATTCCTTTTAAGGCAATTATTACCAAGCGTGAGATATTATCTGTAATATCACAAATATTTGACCCACTTGGTCTTGTAACTCCATTCATTGTCCAAGCAAAAATCATCATGCAGAACCTATGGATTGTGAAATCTTCCTGGGATGAACCCGTACCAGACAATATCCAAAGCGCCTGGGGAGTCTTCCAGGACACATTACCTTTATTAAACAAGATTGAAATACCTCGTTGGGTTATAAACAGTTTAACTCCAAATGTAGAGCTACATGTATTTACAGACGCATCTGAAAAGGCTTATGGTGCCTGCGTTTATGTACGAAGCCTGATAAGTAAAGACTCGGTTAAGGTACAATTACTTACATCCAAGAGTAAGGTGGCTCCCATAAAGCCTACCACTATGCCACGTCTCGAATTATGCGCCGCGCTCCTGGGCGTACGGCTATGCTCTAAGGTACGACAATCACTCACACTAAAATTTATCACCTGTACCTTTTGGTGTGACTCTACTATCGTTCTTGGTTGGCTAACTTCGTCGTCAATGCAGTTAAAACCTTTTGTACGTCATCGCGTAAGCGAAGTTCAAGAGACAGTCGGAGGCAATAATTGTCGCTATATTCCATCAAATGAAAATCCTGCAGACCTCGCTTCGCGTGGACTTTCTGCAGATAAATTATCAACTTTTTCTTTGTGGTGGTCGGGTCCTCAATTTCTTGCATCAGCAGATATTTCACAGTGGCCTTCTATACCCAAATCCAATACGCAATTACCAGAAATCATAAATAATTCATTACACTGTTAGGTAAACAAAGCCAGGGAGCAATGAAAACTCAATGTCCCGGAAGATATAGACAATTTAATCAATATAATTATTAAACCCTATATGCATTTTCAATAGTCGAACCATATCGTGATATAAAAATGTGTAGCGACATCTATCATCTTAAACATACCGCCCACCAAGTACTAAATAGTCCTTCAATTTGTATAAAAGTCGCATATTTACACTATTTGGGCAACTAAACTGAATTAACTTTGAATTAAATTAGTACAAATAAAATATGAAAGAAATACCTATATGCTTCAAACGGTGCCCCGTCAAAACAGCCCCGACAAAACAGCTCCCGACAAAACAGCCCCGACAAAATAGCCCACCGACAAAACAGCCACCGTCAAAACAGCCCCCGACAAAACAGCCCAAGTCAAAATAAATACCATACATATCTATAGAATTTATAACTATGTATACTTATACCGTGTATCTACTTCAGTTGGCAATATATGGGAAACTTTTCTATTGCGAGTTTTAGCAAGAAATTATTGAAAAAATTGTAAGTGGTGTAAAACGAATGTTAACACTTTACGTGACTTTTTTGGTTCATTTTATGTATTTTTTGTTTTCAACAAAACTATTGCATCGTCTACACATGAAATAAAAACAAAAATAAATGTAGGTATAAAATTATATTATAATGTATATTTACAAACAAAATTCTACAAACTATATTCGTCAAAGGTTATTAATTACAAAGGTTACAATTATTAATAATTATTATAAAATAAAAATAAATGAAGTTATATAATAATATATCAATTTATAATGTCAGATTGTTGGAAATTCCACGGAGATACGGTAAAAGGTCGTCGTTGTTATAATTTCCCATAAGAGTTTCCAATCGACGATTAAGTTGCACATACTTCTTTTTGGAAGCTTCGGGATTTCTGAAGCCGGCTCGAAAACGTTCCAACTCTATTTCTACCCGGTCTTGTTCCTTCCTGAAGTGGTCTATTAATTTGAAAATACATGAATGGTGACAGTCAACGGTGTGTTGGAAAGAATGATGTCATCCTTCTACAGAGTTGTTTGTACGCGGAAGGCCCTGGTGCACTCTATCATGAACATTCCTTACATGAATAGGAAATTTTGGATCTGCTCTCCGATTTCTTCTTTGCCGTCCTATATAAGTATCTTCCCAGTAATCGATGACTGCATCAATTTCTCGTGGACAGCTTTCGGTTAGCTCCTCAAAAGCAGTGATTACGTCGCCCTCTTGGACAAAAGATAACGCTAGTAACATTTTCAAATGCATTCTCACATTTTCGTCATTGCGATATTCTTCTACAAGATGTAGCTCTTGGATTTTACTCCATAAACACTGCCCTAAGCGGAATAAACAACCCATCACCTGAACACCATGAAATACCTGGCAAACTGCATTTTGGATCGCTTTCTCGAAGTCGGATAAGCAGCTTATTGGATTTAAAGTGGGTTTCAACTCCATCAATTTTTGAAACACTCGAACATATGTTTCTTCTCGTTTATCCTGTAGAAGCACGTAAATCAACGGAATAGAACGGTTATCTACCAATGCATGAATGGTAAATATTTGTAAAAATAATTGTGGGGCTACTTTAAAGGTTCCATCTACGTGCCAGTGCCGGTGCTCCTCTAAAACTTCCAAATTTTCTTTAGTACCAAACATGAAGATGCGATGAGGATCATTCTGTCCGGAATCCCATAACAAGAAATTTAGATTTCTTGAAGTGACTTGTAGTGCAACAGGAATATTAATATCGGCAACAGAGCCTGGGTTTGGGCACGACACTTCACGCCTTTGCCGAATACGCTCACAGTTCTCTGAGATGCATTGTACGATGGCAAATGGACTGATGCTTCCAAATTTATCCCTCTTGTCGATCATTGAATCAACTGCTTTGGTTTCTCAAGGGTGTCCGCTGCTCGCCTTTTCATATTAGACACAGATTTTTTTGCTTCATTTTTAGCTGGATCTGGAGCATGACTGTGTCGAGTCACATTTACCACGACATTTTCCAATGACACTTTGACACGTCCTCGGCAAGGTGTCTCGGCGCATCTCCGTGATACACTACCATCGGTATTAGTTCTCGCCTTACGATACCGGTACCCATCGCTCAACAGTAAATCTTTGCCTTTCTGCGATTGAATAAGTTCCATGACCTTCACCAGACAAAATTCTACAAGACTATAGTTATTTTGTGTGTCCCGATGTTCTCATATATTACTTTATCCGCCCTTCTTGGAACCTACTCATAATAGGTATAGTCCGTTCATCGGTTTAAGAAACTAACTTTTCTTTTACGGGGGATTATCCCCTTACCTGGTGCTGCAATTATAGAATAATTAAAAATAAGTAATTTATTAACACTTCCCATGTATTTCTAAATGACCCATACTCGTTCAATAGCAATAAGAGGATTATCGCCGCAAGAGGTACAATAGGTATTGTAAACACATTAAAAATTACTTTCTTAAAGCGATGAATGGACTATAAGTTATTATAACATTTATTCAAATCTGCTAATCGGCCGAAACGTAAATCGCCCCTTCTTGGAACCTACTCATAATAGGTAAGTTAATTAAATTGAAAGCTGAATATAAAATTCCACAATATATTCACAGAAATAATAATTATTATTATATTATATTTTCATTATGTAATATACTCTGAAGATAAAAAGCACGATTATCAATGCAACTAGCAAAGTAATAATATTATACTACCTACAACGATCATATTTCGTAAATTACTTACTTAGTTTTATAATTATTTATTTATTATTATACTTTTATGTTTTGTCTGTTTGTTGTTTGTCTGTTTTGTCGGGGGCTGTTTTGTCGGAGGCTGTTTTGACGGGGGCTGTTTTGTCGGTGAGCTGTTTTGTCGGGGCTGTTTTGTCGGGGCTATTCTGTCCGGGGCTGTTATGTCGGGGAACCGCTTCAAACATTACATTACTATTTAAAACAAACAAAATATTATTATGCACAAACTAAAATTCACAAAACAAAGATATGCCGAATTCCCATATTCAAGAATTATTTCTAACGATTCAAACATGAAAATTTACTGATAAAAGAAGAATATAAGGTATAACATGAGAAGTTACATATATTTTAATTGAACTAAACAATTTAATTTATGCTCAATCGAAGAAATCTACGACAAAACGCTACAATCCTCACTAGCTTCCGTAATGATGAAAATTTAACGAATAAATTATCATCATTTTCATCGACAACGGAAGTGACGTGTGTTTTTATGGTTTTTTGTTTCCAATTTAGTACATATCGAAATTGGTTTTGCATAATCTATTATTTCATTAAGCAACCAGCTTGAACCGCGTCTCCACAACTTGTCGTCTATAAACTCTGCCGGTTTTACTCCTCGTGAGGCGTAGTCTGCAGGATTGTAACTTGAATTAACATACGACCAGTGGGATGAATCTAAAAGTGTAAGTATTTCCGAAGTGTGATTGGCCACAAAAGTTTTCCATCGGCTTGGATGATCGCTCAACCATGCCAAAACTATCGTTGAGTCAGTCCAGGCATGTAAATTTGACTTATTAATATCAAGGACTCCAGCCACTTCAACGAGAAGCTTAGCCACCAATACAGCTCCGCACAATTCAAGTCGAGGAATGGACACCTGTTTGATAGGAGCCACTTTAGTTTTGGCAGTTATCAAATGAGTCTCAATTCTACCATCTGCAGTAATGCATCTGATATACACAACTGCAGAATATGCTACACTAGATGCATCGCTGAATCCATGTAATTCCACCAATTTGTCGCTTTTAGAACTTTGAACCCATCGCGGTACATGAAACCTAGCTACTTCACGCAATTCGTTTCTATAAGTCTGCCATTCACACAATAGCCCATTTGGTAATTTCTCATCCCATTCCAGTCCAGTTAGCCACAATTTCTGAATAAACACCTTTGCAGTAATGATACATGGTGATAATAAACCAAGAGGGTCATATAAGCGGCAGATTTCAGCCGATGATTTTTCTTTTAGTGTCAGGTAAGGAGGATTCAGATGACAGCCGCACTACAAAATTAAATTCATCATTTTGATTTCCTCTTCTTTAATTTCCTTACCATTTCCTTCTCCTTCATCTTCCTTAAATGGTGTAAACAACTCTTCTTTATTGCTAGACCACTTCCGTAATTTGAAACCACCTTTCTGCATTAATGAACTTATCTGCTCAAACACTGTAATTGCTTCTGTTTCAGATTGACAACCTGTCATAAGGTCATCGACGTAAAAGTCTGTTTTGACTTTACCTGCTGCTAATGGATAATTATGCCCTTCGTCTATAGCGACTTGCTGCAAAGCTTTAACCGCTAAGTACGGTGCGCAAGACATACCAAAAGTTACTCTCAAAAGTCTATAATCTTTTATTTCTGAAATGGGATTGTCGCGCCAAACTATTCTTTGATAATCAACGTGCTTTGCAGCGACCTTGACTTGTCGGTACATTTTAACAATGTCGGCAGTGACACATATCGGGTGTAACCGCCATCGCATAATGATAAGTCGCAATTTTGGTTGCAAAGTCGGTCCGACCATAAGAGTATCATTTAGAGACACACCATTTGCGCTACGGTCCGATGCATTAAACACAACTCTGATTTTTGTTGTTCTTTTGTCCAGTCTAATTACAGCGTGGTGTGGCAACCATACTTTTCCCCTTTGACTTGAGTTTTTAAATAATGTAATCGTTGAACATCATCTAATGTAGAGTTGTTATGCACTAAAGAGATAAACAAATTTTTAAAAGATAACCATTGGAATAATGCCCACTAAACACAGGAATAGATATTTTAGGCAATTTAAGAAGAGAGTCTTTGTGTTCGTTTGACGTCGAAGCATGATCACAATGCGTAGGTGAAGGGCTTTATAGCCTCTTTTAGCTCACTCTTGTAGATTAGGTATGTTTCATAACCCTCATTGAACACATCATTTTTATGTAATTGCTTTCTAGTAAGTCTTTCTTTTCGTATTTGCAAATAATGTTCTCATGCTTCATACAAAAATGATCAGCAATTTTTTCTAATCCTTCCAATCTTGCAACAACGTATGCCTTCGTTACTCTTTCTTTAGGACTTTTCTTGAAGTTATTTCTTCCTTTCAAAATTTGTTCTTTTAATTCATCCATTAGTCTTAAATCAGCCTTTTATTTAAAGATTTTCTAAGTCCAAATTGAGCAAAATTTTACAAGTGTTTGGGACCAAATACACCAAAACCGAATTTGGACGTAGGTTCCCCGTCTCGTCGTTTTTTTGGAAAATTATTCTAAGTCCCAAGCTACTGTACAAATTTCACAAGTCCAAGATCATGCATTATTTTTTCTAAGTTAATCTTCGCTTCTATAAGGTGGAAGGGTACTTACGGTTTGTTTTTGCACTTTTCTTCATAATTTCCCAAGTTCTGTTAAATTGTGTCCTCCTCCAAGCGGGCTGCAATATTTCCACCACAAGATGTCGTCAATGTAGTTTTAAAAGCGCTTCACGAGAGGGCGCGACGCCACTTGTATATTCCTTGCGGCAACAACGCGTCTTTGTTTACGGGATATAACGCCGAGAGTAACGCCCATTTAAAACAAAAATAAACCTTGCTTTTTACATTTATAACAGCCTTTTTTTAATTTTATGTCAGGAGGAAGATCTATGTATGAAGTACCGCGTAGGGGGTTAAATTTATTAACATTCATGTCTATAGATTTTATGTTTTTTAGACTGCATCCACTATCTTTTTTTTTCAAATATACTAATTTTAGTAGTAATTGTATCATTTAAAGATGAAAAAAAAATATTTAAGTCATCTCCTTGACAAATAATATAGTTAAGCGTTTGAAAATCGAACGTATCATGAATATCTTTAGTTTGTTGAACAAAATCAGCATGCAATATGAAGTTTACTTTAAAAATTATGTGTTGATGAATACACTCTTGTATTAAAAATAAAATATCATCTTTAATAGAATTTAAAAATAGTTCAGGAGTTTCAAAATTTACCAATGTCGAACTATCTACTCTACTCTTGATTTTATAAGTTAAAATCCTATTTCCAAAAGCAGATTCAATAACACTAACGTTTGATAAAGAATTATGTGAATTTAAACGATTATTTTTGTGAACATTACTTTTAAAATGATTAGCTAGATACCGTTTCTTGATAAATATATGACACGTTAGACATTCCACTTGATCATCGTTACTGATACTGTTCCCTGCAGAGGTAGGCGCTTCTGCTTCCGTTGTTGGTTTTTTGATGATCTTGGGTCCTTTGCTGCTCGTTCGCTTCGTTCCTCTTCCAAGTTGTAGTGGTTGACTACTAAAATGTTTAAATTTATTAAAAACTGTACAAGACATTGTGTAAATTATGATCGAAATGAATGTTTATTTTACTTACTTAAACTGTGTTTTAACCATCGCACAGTGATTATACAACTCATCATCATACGATGAATCGAACAGTTGATCCTTCTCCATTTCATCACAAACTTTAGACAACTCCTGATTTAATTCGCTGTTGAATAGTTCCGTATTCTCTTCGATGGTTGTGGAGAAGAAAGCACTGGTACACACTTCACTGAAGTTTGCCATCCTTATAGTAAAGAAGAAAATAGGTAGCAGAGTAAGTAACAGTTCAGCGTTGGTAGACCAACTGATACCCAAATTTCAAATAATGTCCGATATTTAAGTCTAACAAAGGATTAGAAATAGAATATAATGAGTACACGGAAGTAATTTAAGTAAACAGAATCACATTCACTAACGATCAGCTAATGACTGTCATTGTTAAAAAAGTATTTTTTAACTTTTTCACTTTCTGCTATTGTCTTTGTAATATTGTATACGAGGGCGTTTGTGTTG